GGTGGACGGACGCGTACTGGTGGACGGACGCGTTCGTTTCCAATTTCCATGATCATTTCTCGCGCTGGTTCTACGCGCAGCCAATGGGCGTATGAAACGTCATCACGTAGCATTACGGCACAGTGTTCATGGGAAATGTAGGAAGTACTGCCAGGGGGATAAATTACCGAGAATAGAGCCTTATGCATCACCGGCCAAACTGGCTAGTAAGTTTTTATTAACACCCGCCAAAATGAATTTTAACCCGCATTTGGCGGGTTGGCGGGTGTTAATTTAGAACCCTGCACGTAAGTACTGTACTGTAAAAGGAAGCGTTACCAAAATAAGGTACGTTACAGCAGGCTGTGCCCATTAATTTTTTGATATCTGGCAACCGGTTCTGGACCAAATTAGGAAGCTTGATCCCTCTCTAATCTAAATTTCAGAGGAATAACATACTTGTGCCTTCTTCTCTACAACATGTTAATGATTATTTTTTTTTTTTTTTTTTTTTTTAAATGAATGTGTATTGGTGCAACAGGTGGGATTGTTCTTGGGTGGGTTGGTTAACATAAAAAGAAAATGTATTGTAAAGTGTATCTTATGTTTGATAAGATGTTTAATAAAAACACTTTAAAAAAAAAAAAAATTAATACCAAAATAGGAACATGGTAGTACACGGTAGTGCTAAATAAATACCATATAGTAAAACTAAGTATGATGTTAAAGGGATAGTTCACTTCAAAATGAAAATTGTCATCATATAGCCTACTCTCCCTCAAGTTGTTTCAAACCTGTTTGAGTTTCTTTCTTCTGCTGAGCACAAAGGAAGATATTTTGAAGAATGTCAGTAACCAGACAGTTAACTGGACCCATTGACTTCTATAGTATTTTTTTTTCCTACTGTGGAGGTCAACGGGTCCAGTTAACTGTTTGGTTACTGACATTCTTCAAAATATCTTCCTTTGTGTTCAGCAGAAGAAATAAATTGATACAGGTTTGAAACAACTTGAGGGAGAGTAAATTATGACAATTTTCATTTTGAAGTGAACTATCCCTTTAAATTAACTTAAAGAAAACTTTGTAGCGACTGCGAGAATGAACCAAACACAATTGAAGCTTTTAGGTGATTGTTCATACATAATCACACAAAAGAGGCTTCACATTCCAGATTCAAATCACCAAACCCAGAGCCATAAATCACCCCTGGGCCCCAGAGAGTCCTCAACCAAAAATACTTTTTATTGTTTAACTAAAGGAAGAACGTTGTCAACGTTTTTATAATTTGGCAAGACAGATCTGTTCAGAAATGGTGAAACGAGGCCCTAACAAGAGGTCACCTGACCCCTTCGACTAATAGACTACTGTCACGTTTTCTATGTGTTTAGTTATGTTCTGTGATCTTGTTTTTTATGTTCTGTGATCTTGAAAATGTCTTTGATTTTGGTTCAGTCCTGTTAGTTTTTCCCGCTCCTCGTTTGTGTTCAGTTTCTTCACCTGTGTTCAGTTAATTATCCCATTAGTCCCTGTTAATTTAAGCCCTGTGTTTTCCCTCAGTGTTTGTTGGTCGTCGTCCGTGTATGGTTGTGTGTGTGTTTGTATTACTGAAGTTCTGGAGTTTGTTATTTTGTTCCTGTATGTTCCTGAAGTTAAGTTTTGTAAATAAATCAACTATACTGCAGAACCTTCTGTCCTCGTCTTCAGCTACCTGCACTCAACCTGACAACTACGTCTTTCTTAAGGACCAAGGTCCCATGAGAGATGAACAAAACAGACTTCAGCAGGAACTATCCATGACCTCAGACTGGAATGGCTTAAACCCCATAAACTTTACACACTAACACACTTTACATATCAAAATCCATAAAACTCATCCCAGAACAATTCTCGATGGACTTATAATCAAACATCATGCAACTACATAATTCTATGTTGTTTCTACAATATATGTGTTTCTACAAACTTTGAGTTTAAAATCTTAGACCCGAACACAGAAGCGCTCTCTTTTGCTCTCTCTCGCGCTCTCTCTCTCAGAAAAAGTCTCGGCAGAACAAGTCGGGTGGAGCAGACGATGGTTATAGTAACCATGTAGACGCATAGAGACAAATGACCCAAATCAAGATCAGGGTTTAAAACAGCTTCATTCAAGCCATCTAACTCGTCTCACTTTCCTTTTTTTTTTCTTTTCCGTTAAAAGTTTCGGTTCCTAGTTAAGTTTTGCTGCAAAGTTTCATTTAAACGTTTCGACTGCAACGCGCTTCCAACTTCAAAGACTTTCATCCATCCGCCAACACACCACGTGATTGGCTGCCCAAGATCTAGCAGGCACAAGGAGACCGCCAAGCAACGGACCCGGGAAACCCCTTTACACCGACAAAAGGGAATCCCCAAAGCAAACCCGAAGACAAGCAAGTAGCCTTCAGACTCTTAACTGAACTGGTGCATTAATATAAAATTGAATAACCTGCATAAGAAACGGTCGAAGGGTTAAATCGATGGTTGATGGTTCGTTCAGGTCATGTCTTTTAAGTGCATATAGAAACTTGGGATCTCACCATCTGACTCCTAAAACTCATTCTTCCTCACTCTCTTTCTTTCTGCAACTCGTATGAATGTGTGTGTGTGTTAGATATTAGTTTTATGTGTTAGTCATAGGCTTATAATCAATAAAGTATTGTTTGTATTTGAAAAGAGAAGCATTACTTGTGTTATGTGCTTACAAATTTATTGTCTTGAACTGCGATCTAACCTACCTATGCTTTTACCATTGAATTATTTCTTAATTTAGCTGTTAGCTGGGAATTAGTCTTTCTTGGCCAGGAAGATATTATATTTCCTAGAATTAATAATTAATAAGATCGTTGTCTACGTTTTTCCTTTAGTTAAACAATAAAAAGTATTTTTGGTTGCGGACTCTCTGGAGCCTAGGGGTGATTTATGGCTCTGGGTTTGGTGATTTGAATCTGGAATGTGAAGCCTCTTTTGTGTGATTATGTATGAACAATCACCTAAAAGCTTCAATTGTGTTTGGTTCATTCTCGTAGTCGCTACAACTTACAAGTATACTTGCAGTATAAAACTACTAAACTAGTAGTTAACTGAGAGTATACTTCAAAGTTTACTTTCATAAACAAAAAAAAAAATGTGCAACAAGTATTTGACTAAACTATTAGTAAACCTATAAGTTCACTTGTAGTATAGTTGTGCAGTACAAACGAAAACCGAAAAGTGGTAAACTAGTTGTGTACTCGGTTAACTACTTTAACACTTTGATAATTTTATCTGTTGTATTTTTTATTCTATTTTATGTTATTCTTTGACTGTTTTTTTCTACTATGTTTTATTGTCTATGCATATTGTAAAGCACTTTGTGACCCTGTCTGTAAAAAGCGCTTTATAATATTTTTTTACTTACTTACTTACAAGTATACTTCTAGTACATTGATATTAGTATAACACCGTGTCCTAACCAGACATGATGCGATAAGATTCCAGCGACCAGCGATTTGCCTGTCCACACCAGAAGTGACGCGACAATCAAAACCCACAGCCTATCAGAACAGCGTGTAGGCGGGGCGGGCTCTCACGGCGAGTGCACAGCACCAGAAAGTAATCTTGACGGAACTCGCAAGAAAATGGATAAGTACATAATTAAAGGGACATTGTGTAGGAATTTCTCCCATCTAGCGGTGAAAATGTATTTTGCATTCAATCGAATTGTGCTCTCCAGCGCCTCGCTTTTTCAAATGCGTGTTGCATCTACGGTAGCCATTATGTACCAAAAAGCTATGACAGGATGTCTTCTAATAGCACTTCGTCGAGTGTTCCTTCGGGTGAACAGGTTTGTTATTTCAAACAAACAGCATCTTGACACAACGAACAAACGAATGTTACAGTATGAATTACTGACTGTGAAAAACATGAACTATTGTCATAAGTAGTTATGCCTTCTTTATTCGTTATATTTTCTGAAGTACGTGCATTGTTAGATATCATCATCAACTTTTAACTATAAATGTTCATCTGTCTATAAAATAAAGTACACAACCAAACAATGAAAAAAAGCTTGTAATTAAGACTGTAACATTGACTTACCTGTCGAGAAGAAAGCAGGACTTCAAGCGTCTCTTTTGAAATCTTTCTCCTGCATTAGCTCTATCCACCTGGAAAAAGCTATCCCGACATTAACTGGTGTTTTTTGTAATCTCCGGTCACGTTTCCTTTTACGATCTATTTTGGACTTTACTGGCGACGAGGATTTGCAATGCAGGCTTTTAAACTTGCCGGGGCAGTGACAAGCGCCTCTCACTGCTCTGTTCCTCCGGTTCTGCTGCTTTCAGTTAGCTTGCTCTGAACGAAAACGCGCTGTGGAAACGCCATTGATTGTGAAGTTAGACATCGAAAATGGCAGATCAAGCGCATGGGCTGCATGTTTTTTCTTGTTATGAATTGTATTATATTTTCCGTTATGACAGTTGACTACGCGAAGTGATATGGAACGGTAATGTGGTCAAGACCTGCCTGGAACTACTTTAGCCGTGCGTTTCCCTGAAAATAATTGCACACCTTAGAACGTTCCTCAACCAATCAGATTCAAGCATTCAACGGCCCTGTAGTATAACATTAAATAAAGCACATAAACAGTACCTGAGATTATCATTGCCGCACTTTGTTCCAGCCGCGACGTCGCAGAAAAATAGAAACCGTTTCTAAACTAGAATCACGGCTGGTTAGGACAAAAACTCTGATTAACATGGAAAAAATACCTTTTATCGCACGTTGAGTGTAGTTAGGACACGGTGTAAGTAAGTATACTTAAAATTAACTTGAAGTATACTTATTTTTTGTAAGGGTGAGCAGTTGCCAAAAGCCTCAGTTGACATGAAATGGCTTATTACCAAATTTAAAAGTGCTAGCTAATGCTAAACGTAAATACTGTAAGATTGTTATTCATGTTAGCACACATGATGTCTCCGGTTAGTTTACCCTGTTACCCATCTGCAAATCCTTCACTAACTTACATATTCACTGAGAGGAGACTGTGCTGTTCCATTAGTGCTGCTCTCATCATCTGGCTGTTCCTCGGGGGCATTTTCATTCTTCTTGGCTGTACCTTTTTCTCCAGGCAAGGCAACTTCTCCCACTCCTAAGGATTCCTCCTTATAGTATTTCACAAACTGAGCCATAGCTTTCAGCTCCACCTCGGACAGGCTGTGGCAGTATGCAGGGTCGTGATCATAGGAAGGTAGCTGTCTGAACAGTTGCCTGTGGCGATATAACGATCCTTCTGTGCCAGCCACGGGTCGTCTTTCTTCAGGGAGAAGCTCCATGTACTGCATCGCCTGACAGAAAGACAGAATTATGTAAGAGCATAGCAAAAAACAATGTAAGGAATGATGTAAAACGTCTCGGTTACGGATGTAACCCTCGTTCCCTGAGTAGGGAACGGAGACGTTCCGTCGGATGACGACGAATGGGGTTTCGCTTAGAAAGCCTATCGACTTCGAGTATACAAAAACGAGCCAATGGCAAAGAAATGCCATGGGTCTGCGGAATTTGCATTGCGTAACTCCGCCTCACCTCGTGGGTATTTAAGGAGAACGCTGGCAGCAAATAGGCATGTTTCTTCGCTGAGGAGCCAAGACTGAGCTCAGGCGATCCCCGCGGTACAGCGGAAAGTGGCAGGAAGACGGAACGTCTCCGTTCCCTACTCAGGGAACGAGGGTTACATCCGTAACCGAGACATTCCCTTTCGTTGTCACTCCGAGTTCCGTCGGATGACGACGAATGGGGATACCAGTCTAATCACGCCACCTTCTCAGCTGTCTTCCAGTGCCCTGCGTAAATCTGAGATCCCTGTCGTGAGACTAGCACGGACGAAGGACTCCTATTTAGCACAGGAATACCAAGGTACACTGGGGAGCATATCCCAGATTTGGGGGAATATGCAATTACTGCCAACCCAGAGGGGGGGACTTAAGAATACACATATGACCCGAGGGATGCATATGGGGAATCACTGGGGTGTCCAGCCGCAGGTGGAATATTTCAACCCCAGGGGTGGCAAGGTGGCTTGCCAAGGGAAAGACACATGCTCAGAGAGGCTTACAGTGGAAATACACATGTGGGGGTAGCTCAGAGGAGGTACCATGCACACGGAAGGCACCTAGCCGACGCACAGGCAATAGACACTGGCGCCAGCGTCAGCAGTGCTGGAGGAACTCAGGGCTTTCGGGGAAGCTCACCTGAGGAGAATATCGCACGTATCCAGTCCGCGGAGTGGAACGGCGAGCAAGCGAAGACACCTGAGCGGGTCCGGCACTAGCTGGTTGAAGCGAGTACATGAGAGGACACTGGCTCCACTCGGAGATTGTAGAATCTGGCGAATGTGTTAGGTGTCGCCCAGCCTGCAGCTCTGCAGATGTCTGTTAGCGAGGCGCCATGCGCTAGAGCCCAAGAGGACGCCACACTCCGGGTGGAGTGTGCGGTCACACCAAGGGGGCACGGTCGACCTTGCTGCTGGTATGCCAAAGCAATGGCGTCCACTATCCAGTGAGACAACCTTTGCTTGGAGAGAGCCTTTCCCTTCAGCTTCCCACCATAACAGACAAAGAGCTGGTCTGAGGTCCTGAAACACTGCGTTCTGTGTACATAGATGCGACGAGCACGTAATGGACAGAGCAGTGCCAAGGCTGGGTCTGCCTCCTCCGGGGGCAGCGCTTGCAGGTTCACCACCTGGTCCCGGAAGGGAGTGGTAGGAACCTTGGGCACATATCCAGGCCGGGGTCTCAGGATCACGTGAGAGTAAGCCGGCCCGAATTCCAAGCACGCTTCGTCAACGGAGAATGCGTGCAGGTCCCTTACCCTCTTGATGGAGGCCAATGCAGTCAGAAGCGCTGTCTTCATTGACAGGAAGTTAAGCTCGACAGACTGCAAAGGCTCAAAGGGAGCACTGCGCAGGGCAGTTAAGACCACTGCGAGGTCCCAAGAGGGTACGAGAGGAGGGCGAGGAGGATTCAGTCTCCTTGCTCCTCTCAGGAACCTGACGATCAGGTCGTGCTTCCCCACTGACTTACCTTCTATTGGGTCATGATGTGCGGCAATGGCGGCGACATAGACCTTGAGGGTGGAGGGAGACAGCCTTCGCTCCAACCCTTCTTGAAGAAAGGAAAGCACGACACTGATCGAACATCTCCGGGGGTCTTCTCGGTGAGAAGAGCACCAGTTGACGAAGAGGTTCCACTTCAACGCATAGACGTGTCTCGTGGACGACGCTCTAGCGGAAGTGATGGTAGCCACCACCGCTGGTGGTAGGGTACTCAAACCTGCCTCGTCCCGTCCAGGAGCCACACGTGGAGGTTCCAAAGATCGGGACGAGGGTGCCATAGGGTGCCCCGTCCCTGAGAAAGGAGGTCCTTCCTCAGGGGAATCGGCCAAGGAGGTGCTGTCGCGAGGAGTATGAGTTCGGAGAACCAGGTCCGGGTGGGCCAGTATGGCGCGCGGCCAGCTGTGCGCCAGTGCATCTGTGCCGAGCGTGCCCTCGGTCAGGGAATAATACAGGGCGCAATGGGTTGAGTCGTGAGAGGCAAACAGATCTATCTGTGCGTCCCCGAACTGGTCCCAAATCAGCTGAACCGACTGGGGATGGAGTCGCCAATCTCCCGGGAGGGGCTGAAGCCGTGAGAGCTCGTCGGCTGCACAGTTCAGGGCTCCGGGGATATAAATGGCACGAAGCGACCTCAGATGCTTCTGACTCCATAAGAGGAGGTGGCGGGCGAGTTGCGACATACGGCGGGAGCGCAGACCACCTTGACGGTTGATGTAAGCTACGGTCGCGGTATTGTCTGAACGGACTAGTACATGCTGGCCCCTGAGCACGGCTCGGAAGCGGCGCAGGGCGAGCTGTACAGCCAGCAACTCGAGGCAATTGACGTGCCATAGGCGGTGGGGTCCTGTCCAGGAGCCCGCGGCAGCACGCCCATTGCACATGGCACCCCAGCCCGTGGTAGAGGCATCTGTTGTTACAACAATATGCCGGGAAGCTCGTTCCAGGGGCACTCCGGCCCGTAGAAAACTGAGGTTCGACCACGGGGTGAAGGTCTGACAGCAGGTCGGAGTAACTGGTACTCGGAGAGTGCCGTGTTGCCATGCCCACCTCGGGACTCGGTCGCGAAGCCAAAGCTGAAGCGTCTCATATGAAGCAATCCGAGCGGTGTTGCCACGGCTGCGGATGCCATATGCCCCAGGAGCCTCTGAAAAAGTTTCAGTGGAACCGCACTCTTGCCCTCGAACTGTCTGAGGCAAATCAGCAGTGACTGCGCGCGCTCGCTCGTAAGCTGCGCGGACATGGCGACCGAGTCGATCTCCGTACCGAAAAAAGAGATCCTCTGCACGGGGCAAAGTTTGCTCTTCTCCCAGTTGACCCGAAGGCCCAGACGGGCTACATGGCGGAGCACCAAGTCCCTGTGTTCGCAAAGCTGATCTCAAGAGTGAGCTAGGATTAGCCAGTCATCGAGATAATTCAGAATGCGAACCCCGTGTTCCCGGAGGGGAACAAGGGCTGCCTCAACGACCTTCGTGAAGACGTGAGGAGACAGGGCTAGCCCGAATGGGAGAACTGCGTACTGATATGCCTGCCCCTCGAAAGCAAACCGCAGGAACAGTCTGTGTCGAGGGAGGATGGAGACATGAAAGTAGGCGTCCTTCAGGTCGATCGCTGCAAACCAATCCTGGTGCCGCACACATTCGAAAACGCGTTTGGCGGTGAGCATCTTGAACGGCAGCCTGTGAAGGGAGCGGTTCAGAACGCGCAGGTCCAGGATTGGCCGTAACCCACCGGTTTTCTTCGGGACAATGAAGTACGGGCTGTAGAAGCCGGTCCTCATTTCGGCTGGAGGGACAGTCTCGATCGCACCCTTCGCCAGCAGGGTAGCAACCTCCGCTCTCATGATAGGGGCCTTGCCACCGACCATAGTGGAGCGGACTCCCCTGAAGCGGGGAGGAGACCGCGCGAACTGAATCGCGTAGCCGAGCCTGATCGTTCGCGCGACCCAGCGGGACAGGTTGGGAAGCTCTAGCCAGGCTCCCAAGGACTGTACCAGCGGGGTCATTCGAACCACAGACTTCCCGTCGGTGGAGCAGCGAGGCGGTATGGCTGACCCAGACGTGGACGGCATAGCGGCCCGGTGTGGGGGTACAGTCATAGACCGCGTCCTGACAGAGGAGACCAGGGAAGGACGAACGTTCCACGGGGGTCTGCTCTGCCAGGGGTCTGGCGACAGAGGAGAATGAGAGCGGCACGGTCCGGGGACGGCGCGCACTGTCATCCGGCTCTGGGACAGAGGAGGACGAGGGGTGCACGGCCCGGGGGTGGCGCACCGTGTCGTCCGAGAACTCTGTGTGCTCAGAGATGGGAGAGTCAGTTCTTTCTGGAATAAGGATTCTTCCCCGGCCCTCCACCAGGGAAAGGAGTGGCCCTGCTACCAGCTCCTGGAAAGAACTGAGTCCCATCTCTGAGCAGCCCATCTCAAGAGTGCCGCTTAACCCGGCGTATAGCGGGGGGCGGGGCTGGAGAGGGCTGTGGCGTCCCCCTGCAGGAGGGCGCCTTCGGCGGTGGGCAGACCGAGGGATCTGCTCGGACGGCGGGGCCGTCGGGGCAGAATAAGCCTCAGTCTGCTCGAGGGCGGTTGAGAACTGTTGGGCAAAGCCCTCAACCGCACCGCCGAAGAGGCCGACCTGGGATATGGGGGTGTCAAGCAGATGGGTCCGCCCGACATCCTGCACATCAGACAGGTTCAGCCACAGAATGGTGGACATCACCTGACCCAGGGAGCGTACGGCCACTTTCGTCGCTCGGAGAGCAAGGTCAGTGGCGGCGCGCAGCTCATTGAAGAGCCCTGGGTCAGTCCCGCCCTCGTGCATGTCCGTGAGCATCTGGGTCTGGTTGACCAGCAGAATGGCCATGGCATGCAGTGAGGCGGCTGCCTGTCCTGTAGCGCTATAGGAATTCGCCACAAGTGTAGACGAAAAACTACAGGCTTTGGACGGGTGCTTAGGATCGCGCCGAGAGGAAGCACTCTGAGGACACAGTAGCATCGCAACAGAGCGTTCAACCGGGGGGACCCCAGTGTACCCATGGGCAGCGGCCCCGTCGAGGGAAGGAAGGGCGGAGGAGATCAACGAGGGATCGCTGGAAGACATGGGGGTCTTCGAGGATTTCGAGATCTCCTGATGCACATCCGGGAAGAAAGGCATTGGAGTGGACGCCGACAGGAGTCAGCGGCCACACCCAAAACCAATCGTCCAGCAGCGAGCGCTCGGACAGGGTGAAGGTTCCACTCTA